TTAACGTTACGTACGTACGTTTCTTTCTTCTTCTTCTTCTTCTTCTTCTTAAATATTTTCACTCGACCTCTTCCTCGTGCACTCGAATTTCTTCCTCGAGCTTACTCTTTCTTCTTGTTTCCCATGTGCTCATTTCATGTCTTTCCAAACTTTTCCCTCTAAATCCGCTGCCTTTCTCTCATCTTTTTTTCTCCTCGTCTTTTATATTCAACACATTTCCACTCCAAAAACTTTATACCTTTTTTTTCTCGTATCATGTTCTCTTTTGTTTTTTTCGATTTTCTTTTTGTACAAACTTTTATGTTTAGTTATCTTTTACTTTTTCTATATTCTCCCTCTTTCGTTCTTGCTATAAACTCTTTTCTTTATTTTCCTTTTCGTTTTATCTTTGAATGAGACTGTTTTCTTTTTATATTCCACATTCGGCCGTTCGATTTTGTCTTTCTTATTCCTTCTTGTCTCGCGTTTACGTCCTTCTTCTCGGCGTTTCCTCTTTGAAGTGTGTGCCCTCCAGGCTCTACAATCACATCTAGTTATCCAGTTGTCTGAAGTCGAGGAAGGCAAGTACCCTTTCTCGTTGTCGTTACAAACCCTTTCTGCACCGTCCACGTGCAATCATCGTGGCGAGCGATCATTACAAAGTGAACGAAGCGAGAAGTGTTGTTAACTTCGTCGTGACACGAGCCCTGCGGCCCTTTGCTCGCCGTCCCACGAAAGACATGTCTTCACCTTTATTTCTTCATGAATGTTAGATAATAGCATTCTCTCTTCAATATGCTATACTTGTGATATACTATACTTGAAACTTTGCAAGCTGAAAGTTATCACGCTTCTGATGATTCACTCATTACTTCACAAATACTTCACAAATAACAAATTTTTTTAAATATGAGAGACGGCAGAACTATATTCGTTTTGGTCGCATGTTTAAATTTTATAAAAGTGCAATGAGATCAAATTATCATTAAATTAGTTATTCTTATTTATTACGAACAAATTGTATATCTTTAATCTTTTAACTAATTCTATCTGTATTTAGTTATAGATCTTGGCTGGAACGAATTCGGAAGGAAAGTCCACCTTTCTTAACAATAGTATCATTGGAACTTCCGGAATCGCCGATACCCTTAATAGAGTCCCAAGCAAATGCTCGTTTAAGACGCGATGGCTCCAATGAAGCTGCAAACGATAAGGACGATATCTTGGACGAATTTTTGGAGAGAGTCACAGAGGTCGGGAAAGATAAGGAAAGGGAAGTTCGCATAGCAAGAAACAGCGTGTCCTGGAAAAGTCATCATAGTAGCAAAAAGGATGACGAATCTTTGGAATGTACGAAAGCGCCCGCCACTCTCGAGGAATGCACAAGAAACATTATCGAAGGTTCGATTTCTTTCCAGAATTTTCTTTCTTTCCAAAGATATTCCAAAGCGTGTTTAATAAAAAAAAATAGCTATGCTATAATTATAAAAATCGGAAACGATCTTATTAAATTTTTAATTAAAAAAATTATTGTTCGTTGAAGTGTGACCGAGAAAAAAGTACGTGCAACACCCTATCTCATGTGCCATGCGTTACGTTGAAGGAAACTGGGTTGCAGTTTTTTGGAGGTATACCAATTCCTAAGACACCTCCACCCTTATACAGGCTCAGAGTATTCAAAACGAGATTAGGGATTTTTGGATTAAATCAGGCGTAACCCGGACGATGTCGCCTTCAAGTCAATCGATCCATTATGACTTAATTGTCCTTGAAGTTGATCGTGTTCGCGGATTATATAAAAATGTCACAGAGGACACTATAAAAAGTTCACATTTTCGCATTTATCGGCTTTACATTTAATTACCATTTTTTTTTGTTCGTACTACATATTATCGATGACGAGACGTTTTTTTTCTCTTTTTTTTTTATCTATCTCCGCTCGACTTGTTCCGAGAGAGATCCGGAGCACCTACAGCTCGCTTACTTTCAAAGATCGATCCTAATCGGCGAGAGATCGAATTTCGCAGGAACGCGTATCGCAGGATCGCCGTAAACGGACCTTGAAATCGCGTCGGCGCCTTTCGCGACTTCGTGATGATTTATGGAATCGAAATTTTTCCGGCTGGCGTGCGAGGGGGCCAGCTTAGGGGAGGAGCACCAGTCTAAGCAGACTTCGAAAGTCTCTCTCAGGACGGCAATATTGGATTTCAGGACCGAGCTGCGAAGGATCGAATCGGCCGCGGGATACCGGCGACGATTGCATATGCTGCGAGATACCGGGCACGAAGGATCTGCGAATTAACATTCGCAGGAAAACGGAGGTCACGCGTACTCTGCCGTGCACTCCGAGTCCGGAAATGACTCACGCCATTCGGATCGCGATGAAGTATCACGACCGGATACAAAGCTGCGATACGGGATGCAAAACCGACGACGACGAGAGCCCGCGCGAGGAGCAGGGAGGAGGGGGAGGAGGGGGAGGAGGACGGAAAGCGAGCGGCGGAAGAGGCGGAGAGAGATGGCAAGCGAACGAAGAACGAGAGGAGCAAGAAGGATCTTCAAGGTCCGTCGAACGCGAGGAAGGAATCGGTGAAGCACGACGTTCGCTGGGTCGGCGCGAACGCCACGTTAGACTTCACGCTAAATTGCAATAGCGTGCGACTGACTAGTCGTGACACGAGTTCGAAGGCGGCGTCGAGAGGCGAGAGGCAAGAACGGCCGGAAACGCGAAGCTAGTTCGCGTGGCTTTCCTCTCGAAAGCGCCTCTTTTGCTCCGAGATCCGTGTTCCGCGATGGATGCTGTGGCTTTAAATATACATATCAGTAAAGCACATAATAGTTCAACAATTTGTCTACCTGCTCCCCACGAAGTTTGCCAAAGTTATTACTCGCACGCGTTTAAACTAATTTTTTTTTCTTTTTCTGAAAATTATCCTTTGTGGTACAATTCATTTAACTTGACTTTTTTCAAGGAGACGAGATAAATAAAATACCTTAAAAGTCGAATAAGTAAAATAAATTCTTCTCGTAATGAATAAAAATCTCGATGTAACTTCGTTCAGTTTTAAATTAAATTTTAGAGAAAAAGACGCTTGCGTCAGAATAACTTATAAGATTCACGATAATTGACATGATAGCTTGAACTGGTTGTCTTCTCGAAAAATTCAATGGGCGTGAGAGTGAATTTTGATCGGACGTCGAATTAGCTATTCCGTCGGCACAATAATTTGCCAAATCAGTTGAATCATAATTTGGGAACTTGTTTAAGACGAAAATTCTAAAAAACAATGATTAAGATTAGCATGAAACATTTCTAAATTATGCGAATGTTGATATTTAATATTAACTTCATCAGTACGCATAAGAATATCCCGATTTAATCAAATTAAGCTATTAAATTTTTATTATAAGAATTTAATTGAAAAAATATTCAGAAATTAATTATAAATATCGTGAATACAGTCGTACACAAACATACGCATTCTATATACTAAACGCAAACACGATTCCGTGTAAAAGCAGAATCGCGATGATGCAAATGAATTTATTTTAAATTTCTTTATATATTAAATTTCTTCATTTTCTATTTTCTGAGAGTCAGAAGCTAAACATAACTTACCATTAGTATAACGATTTATTCGATGCAGACCGCGACAGAATGCAATAACGGCTTTAGCGCCGGGATCAAAAGATTCTCAGTGAAGATGCGGCACAATCACGACAGAAAGATTCTAGATTTCGCTCGGAATCACCACAAAAACCGACTCTCCTTTTCCGACGCCGAAAACCGCAAGTGGGAGGACTGAGCTCGCACTCGGAAGGCAAAACTACTCGTAGACTCGTGAATCTTCCGCGCTCGGCTTGCAATAAATCGCAATCGCCGATTCGATTTCTGCGAACACGCGTGCGCGAAAGCGCGTACGCGAAGATACGTCGAGGCGGCCTATTAATTAGCTCGTCTAATAAATCGCGATCCAGCCGGACGAGGAGAAGGAAAAGGAGAAAGATGAAGGGAGCGGGACGCTCTATCGTCGTCTCGGTTCTTCTCATTTCCGATCACGATGGGCGAAGAAGGGCGATGGAGAACGAACAGAACGGTGAGAAAGGGATGGAAGGGGGAAAGAGGGTAGTATGCCGATCAAGAGGAACAAGAAGAAGAGGAAGCGGTCGAAAAAGAGAGAGCATCGTACGAGTTTTGTGGTGGACCAGCGCGCGAGATGAGAATCGCGCGTCTAGCTTGGCTCCATGGAAGGCCAAGCTGGGCCCAAACCGGGTGAGAGAAGTTGGCCGGCCCGTCTCCTCTCTTTCTCTCTCTTTCTCTGCTCACTTCCTTTCCTCCTCTACTTCTACCACATCTTCCTCCCACTCTCGCAAGGCGGCCATTGCATTTTTATTTGTCTGTGTTGCGCTGCTCTCTCTCTCTCTCTCTCTCTCTCTCTCTCTCTCTCTCTCTCTCTCTCTCTCTCTCTCTCTCTCTCTCTCTCGTCTCTCTCGTCTCTCGTCTCTCTCTTTCTTCCTTCGTAGGCGAAATGGTCATGGCCGTTCCCGAGCACCGATTTCGCCGCGAATCCTGCGCGGAGGATCGACCTCTACTCTCCTTTATCCTATACGCCTGGTCTCTCCTCCTGGTCCTGCCACTTTATTCGCCACGCTTCTTCGCTCCGGCCGCCTCGCACTCGCGTCGCGGTTTTTCTTCGCGGTATTCCTTTCTTTATGCACGCGATTGCATCGTTCACCTTTTTAACGCGCCGTAATGGAATTTTTGTTTTCTACCGGCTAGATTATACCACCACCTTCCCAAGAAGAAGACACCTTCTTTCGCCTACGTCCAAGTTTCGTTACTTTATTACGGCCGGTAGAATACTGTTTGGCCGAACAATGTGGGAGCCGTTTATCACATCGGAGTCGTAAATCAATTTCTGAAATATAATAAAACAAGTAATGAGATGCGGGTGTGCAAATCCGCGCGATACTTTAGCGAGACTCTCAAAACACGATCGCTTCGAAATAAATGATTCATATAAATTATCAGCGGCGATCAATACGACTTATAATGATTTCAAGATTAATGACTCGTATAAGTTATCAACGGTATCATTGTCTTCCACAGCAATCTTTTCCAACATCTATATGTAAATTATTTCTTCGATTTATTTCTGTTGTTATTTCTGTGAGATTATTTTTTCTGTGAGATAGTATTATTCTTTCGTTCCTTGTTACATCACATCTTCAATTATATTTTTTCCATATTTTCCAAAATTCTCAAGACCTTAGTTTAGCTTAATTTAATTGTTGAATAAACGATGTTTGACTAATTGCATATATTTCTTCATCTTTTCTTAGAAGGCATTTTCCGCAATTAACCTAATTGATCTAAAGAAGAACTCATTATCGCCTGCGATTATCGCCTAATTAAACTCCACATCCGATCGGCCAGGATGACGATCGATATTTCTTCCGTAAATAACCATCCTTTGCGTATCGCCAAGGGAGAGTCAAGAAAGACGGAGGGACGGCGTGAAACAACGCGAAAGCGTGTAAGTTCTAATCGCAAAGAGTCCTTTCCCTTTGGATCAAATTACCATAAATAATGATCCCTTTTACAATATTTATAGTAACATGTACCCTACGGCCGCCTTTATGGCCGCCCCCCCCCTTCCTCTCTCTCTCCTCATCTCGCTACTACTTACTCTACTCTCTCTCTCCTCTACTACTCTACTCTCTCTCTCTCTCTCTTCTCGTCTACTCTCTCTCTCTCTCTACTACTCTCGTCCCCCTCCCCTCCTCTCTCTCTCTCTCTCTCTCTCTCTCTCTCTCTCTATCTCTGCCATACTTCTCTCTCGCCCTATCATTTCTTCGACTTTCTCTTGCCATTTTTACCACCCTATATCCTGCTCCTTTCATCCGATCGCGTCAAGTTTTCCGCCGCTTTTCTTTTCTGTTTCTCGCCCTTCTTCGTCCGTCTGCTTCTCCCTATTCTCGGCATCGATTAACCCGGTGTTTACCCGGTCGGTCGGGGGTGCAAAAACGCGCGAACAGCCGCGCCGACCGCAATCGACGTTCGCGGAAGATCGCGGAATCGGAAACAAAGGGGACTTTGTGCTCCGCTGATGAGATTGCGACGCCTCCTCCTCTCTCTATCGCGTTTCTCTTCTTTTCTGTCGGATATAACGAGGCGCAGGGCGTGGAGGAGAGGGTGTCAGATAGGGAGAGAGAATTGGTATGTTGATTGTGTGTGCCGTGGCAGAAAGAGAGAATGAATAGAGGAGAGATAAAGAAGGAAAAGGAGAGACGAGATTTCGCTTGTTGCGTGTTCTGGAGAGTCGGATTCCGCTAAAGTCGCGGTGCCGAGATAAGAATAGCTTCGCTGTAAATTAATTTAACAACATTCTTCCTCGCATTCAATTATGCATTCAAACTCTCGCACCCCCCCCCCCCGTACGTCAATTCTATACATGGACGCTATAAATAGCCTCGGCGATCTTTTAAATCTTCGATCTTCTTAATCCGATCTTATTAATGCCTCGGGAATGAATCGTGTAAATTTGTCGTTAGCGAGCGCATTTTGTTTGAACGCGCAAACACGCGCCGGCGGAGTCCGGAATTAAGATACCAGACAGATTCGTCCCTTAAGTGGATTTCTCACTTGGGAAGATGAGATTTCGTTTTGCTCGGATGGGCTGATTAATTCCACCGATTCTTTGAAACGTTTATGTGCCGTGAACAACTTTTCAAGTATCGTAATTGAGCAAACAATCTTCTAATTGACACTATAAAACATAATTTATTTAAGCAAAATAAATGTTAAATTATCTTTTATATGTTATATTTATAATTAATAATATAATTATATTACTTTCACACGCATACAAAATTGATGAAAACGTGATTTTATTCATATTTGAATTAAATCTGCAATTATTAATTCTGTAAAAAAATTAATTTGAACATTTCTAATTAATTATATAATTAATTTATTTATACAGTTTATATAGTTTTATTGATCCGAAAATTTGATCCGTAAATTTCGCCAAATAGGTCGCATTTAATAAAAACAAAATAAATCAGTGATCTCTAGTGAGATAGCTATATAAATTAGGCATATGACTGTTTATCTGTTGCAAATGAATTTCGTTTACGAACGATGAAGTGACGGAGAAAATATGATACTTCAAAATCTTCATCGCACCGAGAAATCTAGCAGGGGGAAACGGAGTGAGGAGAAGAGAAGAATCGAGAAGAGATAAAAGAAGTAGTAGATACATCCTTGATGAGCGATCGTTATCACGATGAAAATGCAGTCTCGAATCGATCAGTCGATTTCTCTTGGCTTCTTTTATTAGACTGCCAATTTCATGGCGTCTTCCACGGAATTCTTCTTCTCTTCCTCTCTTTTCTCGTTTTTTTTATTCTCCCCGATACGAAATCTCGCTGACTCGACCGCCGACAAAAATTCCTCCTCTAATCTTAAAGTGCCTTTTTGACGCTTATCTCGCGGAACGACGTGACGTCACAGCGACGCACATGTTAACTCGTAAGAAGAATAATTCGATTATGCCAACGTCGGCTCCATGGATTTCACAGTGGTTCTCTTGTTATCCGATTTTT